TAGGCCCTAATCTATGGATTTCACATGATTGGGCAGGGGCGCAGCCATAGGCCCACCCACTGGGGAGCCAGGCCCAGCCAATCAGAATGAGTTTTTCCTCACAAAAGGGCGTTATTACAGACAGAAATATTCCTCAATTTCATCAGCTGTCTGGGTGTCTGGTCTCAGACGATCCCACAGGTGAAGATGTCGGATGTGGAGGTCCTGGTCTGGCGTGGTCTGCGGTTGTGAAGTCGGTTGGACGTACTGCCTAATTCTCAAAAACAAAGTTTTAGAGACATTCCTGCAGTCAGCATGCCAATTGCACGCTCCCTCAAAACTTGAGACATCTGTGGCATTGTGTTGTGTGACAAAACTGCACATTTTAGAGTGTCCTTTTATTGTCCTCAGCACAAGGTGCACTTGTGTAATGATCATGCTGTTTAATCAGCTTCTTGATATGCCACACCTATCAGGTGGATGGATTATCTTGGCAAAGGAGAAATGCTCACTAACAGGGATATAAACAAATTTGTGCACAAAATTTGAGAGAAATACATTTTTTGTGCGTAGGGAAAATTTATTGGATCTTTTATTTCAGCTCATGAAACACGGGACCAACACTGGTCCCATGTGTGTATATATATATATATATATATATATATATATATATATATATGCACACACACTACATGGCCAAAAGTATGTGGACACCTGCTCCTTGAACATCTCGTTCCAAAATCATGGGCATTATTATGGAGTTGGTCCCCCCTTTGCTGCTATAACAGCCTCCACTCTTCTGGGAAGGCTTTCCACTAGATGTTGGAACATTGCTGCGGGGACTTGCTTCCATTCAGCCACAAGAGCATTAGTGAGGTTGGGCACTGATGTTGGGCGATTAGGCCTGGCTTGCAGTCGGTGTTCCACTTCATCCCAAAGGTGTTCGATGGGGTTGAGGTCAGGGCTCTGTGCAGGCCAGTCAAGTTCTTCCACACCGATCTCGACAAACCATTTCTGTATGGACCTCACTTTGTGCACGTGGGCATTGTCATGCTAAAACAGGAAAGGGCTTTCCCCAAACAGTTGCCACAAAGATGGAAGCACAGAATCATCTAGAATGTCATTGTATGCTGTAGCGTTAAGATTTCCTTCACTGGAACTAAGAGGCCTAGCCCGAACCATGAAAAACAACCCCAGACTATTATCCTCATCCACCAAACTTTACAGTTGGCACTATGCATTCGGGCAGTTAGCGTTCTCCTGGCATCCGCCAAAACCCAGCTTCATCCAATCGGACTGCCAGATGGTGAAGAATGATTCATCACTCCAGAGAACGCGTTTCCACTGCTCCAGAGGACCAATGGCTGCAAGCTTTACACCACTCCACGCTAGGCATTGCGCATGGTGATCTTAGGCAGTACTTGTGCTGAATTTGCTTCCAGAGGCAGTTTGGAACTAGTGAGTGTTGTGACTGACGATTTTTACGCACTACGTGCTTCAGCACTCGACGGTCCCGTTCTGTGAGCCTGGGTGGCCTACCACTTCGCAGCTGAGCCGTTGTTGCTCCTAGACGTTTACACTTCACAATCTAGACGTTTACACTTCACAATAACAGCATTTACAGTTGACCGGAGCAGCTCTAGCAGGGCAGAAATGTGATGAACTGACTTGTTGGAAAGGTGGCATCCTATGACGGTGCCAGGTTGAAAGTCACTGAGCTCTTCAGTACGGGCCATTCTACTGCCAATGTTTGTCTATGGAGATTGCATGGCTGTGTGCTCGATTTTATACACCTGTCAGCAACGGGTATGGCTGAAATAGCCGAATCCACTAATTTGAAGGGGTGTCCACATACTTTTGTATATATAGTATATAAATATATATATATATATATATACTTTTTTTTTTTTTTTTTACAACAAACTAGTCATTGGGTAAATAGCTTTCTTGTCTCAAATTTGGATTACAGTGGCTGAATCATAAAATGGATTCTATTTCTATGGGCTGATATTTGTTTTTACCCTCTTCAGTTGAACTACCACATTATTGTGAAGGGCACCCCCTAGTGTTTCTTCAGCAGACTGCGAATGCTCTGTCTATGTACTTCTTCGTGACAGCCAGGGAGGGGGAAGCAGAGAACTGTAAGCTAAGGATCCATCTTAAAGAGAAAATACGAAATAGAGCCCCAGGTTTATCCCTCAATAGCTGTATATTTTCCGCGTGATCCGTGCCAGGGAGGCCGAGGAGGGGGCTGTGTCATCGTCTGTAGGATGTCCCGACATGAGGGTATGTGAAAAATAGACGTCCATAGCGTCGCAGACTGAGCACTGAAGCTTGCTAACTAGGTAGCTAGCTAGAAAGCTAACATTAGCTTCCTAGGGTTGGTCAGTGGGTTGCCATGTTTTGTATTGCAATGCATTGGACATGGCTCATGATGGCGGCCACCATGAATTTTCTCAACCTCCTGATTACTGAGTAGATTGCTGATTAGAACCAGGCTAATTCTTGTTAACGACAGTCTCCGGATTTATGAACAGTCATGTTTCAAATAAGTAATACTTTTATTGAGCGACCTTTTCTTATTCAAGCGAGTTCGCTCATGCTAGGTAGCTTGCTAACTATCTACCTAGCTAGCTAAACTGATGGTCCGACAGTCAGTTGCTATAGCCAGGATGTTAGCTAGCTAGCTTTCTTCAATGACAACGTCGTTAGCCTAGTAGTTAAGTGTCCAGGCTGGCATCTTTTTTTAGGAAGGGTGAATACGTGGTGTGTGTTGGTATGGCCACATATATTGTTTTCGTAGGTAGTTAGTTAACTGGTTATTTAACTGGACTTTGTGCTGAAATACTCCATGCCACCCAAGAAGGGTTTGATCACTGAATGCACTGTCATCAAGGTAGTTTGAGGCCTCAGTCACAGTGGCCCAAACCTAACTAGGCAGCTAGCTAGCTAACTATCTAGCTAACCGTCTTCTACCTTCACTTAATTCACGTTATCTAACTACCGGTATTCTGGTGAAATTCATTAGCTAGTAAGCTAACTTATTGGATCCGTAGAGTATGCTAGCGAACTAACGTTAACTAGTATAATCAGCTGATGTTAGCTAGCTAAGTTAACCCTGTTAGAGCACGGTTTTGGAGAACACCCGGCCTTAACCTACTTGATGATATCTACTTAGACATCTCTGTCTGGCTTGCTACACTTGTTGGACTGTGTCATATTAGGTCTGGATGACTAGCCAGGTCTGGATCTTTTTCCTATAACGTTAGCTAACTAAGGATCTGTGCACATATGAAGGCCTGTCATGAAGTCAGTGTATGGTGAAAGTGTTCTCTGTCTCGCTGTCCCTCCATAGCTTTATCAAAATGACATACAGGTTCCAAGTAGAATGTTTTCCTAAACAGCACACCTTTAGGTGTGACAGACACCAGGCCTCTGAAAACCACTTGAGAGTGTAGCAAGGGGTGTTTTATTCCATTAGTGCTTTGTTGTCATCAAGGATGGAAAGTCAAGTGCTGTTGTGTTATCCAGCAAGGGCAGATTCTCAATTTGAGAATTTGGAGAATCCAGACAATTGAATGATAGATTAGTACAGAAGTTCTCAGAAATGTCTGACTGGGTGTGTTCGTAAATTAATTCTGTCTATCTACTCCAATTTCAGAGCACTCTCGTCTGAGTATGCCAGAGCGCAGAATAACTGATGAATCTACGAACGCGCAACACCCGTTGAATATGACTGTTGTCAGTAAACGTCGGCAAAAAAACGTAATTAAATTGTTGCCAGCAGCACACCAACGCTCTATATCAGGGTTTCCCAAACTCGGTCCTGGGGCCCCCCCCCTGAGTGGAGTGCACGTTTTGGGGGGGAGGCAGGACCAGGACCAAGTTTGGGAAACCCTGCCTTAGATAACATGAAAACAGCCTAACCAGCTCAGCTAGGGCGAGTAAAATTGTCAGTGAGGTGTCCTCTCATTTGTGTCTGGAAGTAGCTAGCAAGCTAGCCAACTTTAGCCAGTTAGCTTGGGTGCTTGACTGCCGTTGTTAGGTCAGAACGCTCGGATCAACCCTACCCCTCGGCCAGAGCGTCCAGTGTGCGCTCTGAACGCTCCAAGAGCGAACCGCTCTGAATTTACAAACGGGACAATCTGACAACGCTCTGAATTTACGAATGGACAATCTGACAACTCTCTGAATTTACGATCACCCAGAGCGCACTCTGGCACTCCAGAGTGAATTTACGAACACACCCTAAATGTGAGCAATGAACAGCAGCATAGCCTAACCTTTTTCAGTTTCACTACTTTGTATCTGGCTTTGTCAGTGGCCGAAGGAGGGACATGTGTCAAATGCCTTGGCTTTATGACAGCGGTGAAATGGTCTCATATCAGCAGCAGTATCAAAGTGGAGGTGGTGGTTATAGCAGTTTACATAGTGCCTGTCTGAAGGAGGAAATGACCATGTGTGTATCAGTACAGTAGCACAGCAATCCACCACTTGATATGATGATAGAGAAAAACCACGGAGGGTCAGCTAGAGGACAGTTTGGTGTCTTTTATGTTTCTTTAATTGTAACTTTGTCTATACACTGTTTCTGTTCTCCTGATCATCTCTTGCCTGTCCATCTGCTGTTTAGGCCTGCTTAATTTACTGCATTGTGATCTAAAGGTCTGTTTTGCGTTTGCATTTATTGCCCAAGCAACAACAAATGCAAAATAATGCGTACAAATGCATGAGAACCGGATAAGATGGGCCCCTATTATTCTGTGCTAGCCAGTTACACACAGCATTCGTTAATGACTTGCTATTGACATTCGGTGGATTAGAAAAATTCCTCTCCATTCGCATTTGTGGATAAGTGCCAATGCCAAGCACATGCTGATGAGGGTCAGCCAGCGTAGGACCAGACTGTAATCTTTCTTTCTCTCTTTCTGATTGTCTGCACACAGTGTCCTACGACACAACGCTAATGGGCAATTAGCCTATACATTTTGACATTCAATCCTCCCCCTTGTTTTGCAGGTGTGAGCTGTGACGCGTGTTTAAAAGGGAACTTCAGAGGGCGCCGGTACAAGTGTTTAATTTGCTACGACTACGACCTGTGCGCGTCGTGCTACGAGAGCGGAGCCACCACAACGAGACACACGTCGGAGCACGCCATGCAGTGTATATTAACCAGGATAGACTTTGGTAAGCACGCCATGCAGTGTATATTAACCAGGATAGACTTTGGTAAGCACGCCATGCAGTGTATATTAACCAGGGTAGACTTTGGTAAGCACGCCATGCAGTGTATATTAACCAGGGTAGACTTTGGTAAGCACGCCACGCAGTGTAGATTAACCAGGGTAGACTTTGGTAAGCACGCCATGCAGTGTAGATTAACCAGGGTAGACTTTGGTAAGCACGCCATGCAGTGTATATTAACCAGGGTAGACTTTGGTAAGCACGCCACGCAGTGTAGATTAACCAGGGTAGACTTTGGTAAGGATGACACGCAGATTAAACATGTTACATTATGAGAAGGGACAGGAGTTTTTTTCCTGACCACGTGACCCAGCAGGGCTATCTTGAAGTTCTTCCTGGTCAGGTGGCCCAGCAGGGCTGTCTTGTAGTTCTTCCTGGTCAGGTCATTCGATTTTTGATGATCCTTCTGCTTTCAGTGTATTTGCGTGGTGAGATATATATTTTTGTCTTTGTTTTCTACCTTATGCGCGTTGAGCATGTGAAATGTGCTCTACAAATTCAATATGATTATTATTTGATATAAGACGTTTGTTGTGTTATGGTGATGATGGTGTGGATTGTTTTGCTTTGCAGACCTGTATTACGGCGGCGAGGCTTTCTCAGTAGAGCAGCCCCAGAGCTTTTCCTGTCCGTACTGTGGTAAAATGGGCTACACAGAGACATCCCTACAGGAGCATGTCACCTCAGAGCATGCAGAGACTTCCACAGAGGTGGTAAGTGGGGGATATCATCCTAGTGTTTCATCTAGCTTCACTAAGACAGGAGAGTCTGGTCCCTCAGTCTTGCTCTGTTACCCTTCTGCCTGAAAAAATGTGGCCTCCATTGGTTTCAATATAATGTTTCTAGGGGAAACATTGCATCCAATGACATCTCATACATCCAACTTGGATTCCAGGGCTCATGGAAGCAGTAATGCAATTCTCAAATAATTATTTTTACAACTGATGCTTGTGAATGGTCAGTTGAATATATCCAGAGGGTGTTTACTGCTTTCTTCATTTCAGATCTGTCCAATATGTGCTGCGTTGCCGGGCGGGGACCCCAATCATGTGACTGACGACTTTGCTGCTCATCTCACACTTGAACACCGAGCACCTAGAGACTTAATATCCTTTTATACAGCTCTACTCTGTGTGTGTGTGTGTGTGTGTGTGTGTGTGTGTGTGTGTGTGTGTATGTGTGCCTACCTGCCTCTGAGTGTATACACCTCTGTGGATGTAATTACTATACACCTCTGTGGATGTAATTACTATACACCTCTGTGGATGTGATTATTCCAGTTACTAGCGAACCCCTTGATCTGTGCTCCTTAACCCACTGTGTTTACGATGAGTCCAGTGGCGTCCGGCACGTGCGTCGGATGTTCCACCATGGTCGCGGGCTGGGCGGTCCTAGGGCACGCAGGACCAACATGCACTTTACTAGCAGCTCCACCGGGGGGCTCTCCTCTTCACAGAGCTCCTCTTACTCCCCCAGTAACAGGGAAGCCATGGACCCCATAGCAGGTGAGCAGTGCACCTGGTCTGACCAGTCTGTCTGACTGTCAGTATAATTGCAAACAGGCTCTTCCTCATAGAAATGGATAAGAGAATGTATAGTTTCTCCCCTCTTGTGGCTCCTATGTGCTGGGTATTTGGGTAGAACTGGCCCTGTCGGTGTAGACTACAGTCTGTTTTACTTGGTTACTCATGGAGTCATTTGACTATTCATTTCACTTCTTTTATCTCTCCATGAGACTGCATGGCTCCTGTCTCCAATGTCGTATAACCTGCAAACACAGTGTCTCTTGTCAAAAGCTCTGTGACTCCCCTACAGTAGTATGGTGTCTCCCACCAACCTGTCTATACTGGAGAATGTTCATTTGACTGTCACCAAAAGAAACTCAAACACTTCACTTCATCTGTCTCCCCTCCCCATTCCCACAGAGCTATTGTCTCAGCTGTCGGGCGTGCGGCGCTCGGCGGGCGGCCAGCTCAACTCGTCAGGCCCGTCTGCGTCTCAGCTGCAGCAGTTACAGATGCAGCTGCAGCTGGAGCGCCAGCAGGCCCAGGTGGCCCGGCAGCAGCTGGAGACGGCCAGGAACGCCACACGACGCTCTAACCCCGGCGGCAACATCAGCGCCACCATCCCACAGCCCAGCGCCGTCGCCAACTCTGCCGGCGTGGCCGAGAGCAATTCTATGGCCTCCCACAGCTCCCAGTTCCTGCTCACACGGTGAGTTGTCTACTCGTGGACAGAGCCTTCTACTTACTTTACTGTTTTTATAAATGGATCAAGGCTCTGCAGACTTGACATCTCAGGAAAGTATTCAGACCTCTTGATGTTTTCCACATTTTGTTACGTTACAGCCTTATTCTAAAATTGATTTAATAATTTTTTCCCCTCATCAATCTACACAAAATACCCCATAATGACAAAGCAAAAACAGGTTTTCATTTTTTCACTACTGTGCAGCACCAACTTCCCTGGTCCTAAAGACCAGTGGACAATGGACCCTGTGTACTTTGACCTCTCACCTCTACCTATGCACATCAATGGCTGCACCTTTTTACTACTAGTATGACTGAGCAGTGAGCAACACACTGCACTCACTATGGAGACAAATAGCCCCTGGTGCATATGAACACAGCCCAACCCATGTCCTACAAACAAGGCTGTGCCTGTAGACAGCTGTTTCCCTGGACCTGCATACTACACAGAGATTTGTTCAAACACAGTAGCTAGCTACATACTAACCGTGCTCAACTCTACCTGCATGGCATACAGTGCATTCGGAAAGTATTCAGACCTCTTGATGTTTTCCACATTTTGTTACGTTACAGCCTTATTCTAAAATTGATTTAATAATTTTTTCCCCTCATCAATCTACACAAAATACCCCATAATGACAAAGCAAAAACAGGTTTTCATTTTTTGTGTGCAAATGTGTTTATGCAAATATCTTATTTACATAAGTATTCAGACCCCCTACGTGGTGTCTCCCACCCACCTACGTGGTGTCTCCCACCCCACAGACATGGTATCTCCCACCCCCCTACATGGTATCTCCCACCCCCCTACATGGTATCTCCCACAGACATGGTGTCTCCCACCCCTCTACATGGTATCTCCCAAAGACATTGTCTCCCACCCCCCTACATGGTATCTCCCACAGACATGGTGTCTCCCACCCCCCTACATGGTGTATCCCAAAGACATGGTGTCTCCCACCCCCCTACATGATATCTCCCACAGTCATGATGTATTCCACCCCCCTACATGGTATCTCCCACAGACATGGTCTCTTCCACCCCCACTATATGGTGTGTCCCACCCCCCTACATGGTATCTCCCAAAGACACGGTGTCTTCCACCCGCTACATGGTATCTCCCACCCCCCCTACATGTTATCTCCCACAGACATGGTGTCTCCCACCCCCCTACATGGTTTCTCCCAAAGACATGGTGTCTCCCACCCCCCTACATGATATCTCCCACAATCATGATGTCTTCCACCCCCCTACATGGTATCTCCCACAGACATGGTGTCTCCCACCCCCCTACATGGTGTCTCCCACAGACATAGTGTCTTCACCCCCCTACATGGTGTCTCCCACAGACATGGTGTCTTTCACCCCCCTACATGGTGTCTCCCACAGACATGGTCTCTCCCACCCCCCTACATGGTGTCTTCCACCCGCTACATGGTATACCCCACCCCCCCCTACATGGTATCTCCCACAGACATTGTGTCTCCCACCCCCCTACATGGTATCTCCCAAAGAATGGTGTCTTCCACCTGCTACATGGTATCTCCCACCCCCCCTACATGGTATCTCCCACAGACATTGTGTTTCCCACCCCCCTACATGGTATCTCCCACAGACATGGTGTCTTCCACCCCCCTACATGGTGTCTCCCACAGACATGGTGTCTTCACCCTGCTACATGGTATCTCCCACAGACATGGTGTCTCCCACCCCCCTACATGGTGTCTCCCACAGACATGGTGTCTTCAGCCCGCTACATGGTATCTCCCAAAGACATGGTGTCTTCACCCCCCTACATGGTGTCTCCCACAGACATGGTGTCTTCCACCCCGCTACATGGTATCTCCCACAGACATGGTGTCTCTCACCCCTCTACATGGTATCTCCCAAAGACATGGTGTCTTTCACCCCCCTACATGGTCTCTCCCACAGACATGGTCTCTTCCACCCCCCTACATGGTGTCTCACACAGACATGGTCTCTTCCACCCCCCTACATGGTGTCTCCCACCCCCCTACATGGTATCTCCCAAAGACATGGTGTCTTCCACCCGCTACATGGTATCTCCCACCCCCCCCCCCTACATGTTATCTCCCACAGACATTGTGTCTCCCACCCCCCTACATGGTATCTCCCACAGACATGGTGTCTTCCACCCCCCTACATGGTATCTCCCACAGACATGGTGTCTCCCACCCCCCTACATGGTGTCTCCCAAAGACATGGTGTCTTCCACCCGCTACATGATGTCTCCCACAGACATGGTGTCTCCCACCCCTCGACATGGTGTCTCCCACCCCTCGACATGGTGTCTCCCACCCCTCGACATGGTGTCTCCCACCCCTCTACATGGTGTCTCCCAACCCTCTACATGGTATCTCCCACCCCCCTACATGGTATCTCCCACAGACATGGTGTCTCCCTTCCCTCGACATGGTATCTCACAAAGACATGGTGTCTTCACCACCCTACATGGTGTCTCCCACAGACATGGTGTCTTCCACCCTGCTATATGGTATCTCCCACAGACATGGTGTCTTCACCCCGCTACATGGTATCTCCCAAAGACATGGTGTCTTCACCCCGCTACATGGTATCTCCCAAAGACATGGTGTCTTCACCCCCCTACATGGTGTCTCCCACAGACATGGTGTCTCCCACCCCCCTACGTGGTGTCTCCCACCCCCCTACATGTTATCTCCCACAGACATGGTGTCTCCCACCCCCCCTACGTGGTGTCTCCCACCCCCCTACGTGGTGTCTCCCACCCCACAAACATGGTGTCTCCCACCCCGCTACATGGTTTCTCCCACAGACATGGTGTCTTCCACCCCGCTACATGGTATCTCCCACAGACATGGTGTCTTCCACCCCCCTACATGGTATCTCCAATAGACATGGTGTCTTCCACCCCCCTACATGGTGTCTCCCACAGACATGGTGTCTCCCACCCCCCTACATGATATCTCCCACAGTCATGATGTATTCCACCCCCCTACATGGTATCTCCCACAGACATGGTCTCTTCCACCCCCCCTATATGGTGTGTCCCACCCCCCTACATGGTATCTCCCAAAGACACGGTGTCTTCCACCCGCTACAGGGTATCTTCCACCCCCCCTACATGTTATCTCCCACAGACATTGTGTCTCCCACCCCCCTACATGGTATCTCCCACAGACATGGTGTCTTCCACCCCCCTACATGGTGTCTCCCACAGACATGGTGTCTTCACCCTGCTACATGGTATCTCCCACAGACATGGTGTCTCCCACCCCCCTACATGGTTTCTCCCAAAGACATGGTGTCTCCCACCCCCCTACATGATATCTCCCACAATCATGATGTCTTCCACCCCCCTACATGGTATCTCCCACAGACATGGTGTCTCCCACCCCCCTACATGGTGTCTCCCACAGACATAGTGTCTTCACCCCCCTACATGGTGTCTCCCACAGACATGGTGTCTTTCACCCCCCTACATGGTGTCTCCCACAGACATGGTCTCTCCCACCCCCCTACATGGTGTCTTCCACCCGCTACATGGTATACCCCACCCCCCCCTACATGTTATCTCCCACAGACATTGTGTCTCCCACCCCCCTACATGGTATCTCCAACAGACATGGTGTCTTCCACCCCCCTACATGGTGTCTCCCACAGACATGGTGTCTCCCACCCCCCTACATGGTGTCTCCCAAAGACATGGTGTCTTCCACCCGCTACATGATGTCTCCCACAGACATGGTGTCTCCCACCCCTCGACATGGTGTCTCCCACCCCTCGACATGGTGTCTCCCACCCCTCGACATGGTGTCTCCCAACCCTCTACATGGTATCTCCCACCCCCCTACATGGTATCTCCCACAGACATGGTGTCTCCCTTCCCTCTACATGGTATCTCACAAAGACATGGTGTCTTCACCCCCCTACATGGTGTCTCCCACAGACATGGTGTCTCCCACCCCTCGACATGGTGTCTCCCACCCCTCGACATGGTGTCTCCCACCCCTCGACATGGTGTCTCCCACCCCTCGACATGGTTTCTCCCACCCCTCTACATGGTGTCTCCCAACCCTCTACATGGTATCTCCCACCCCCCTACATGGTATCTCCCACAGACATGGTGTCTCCCTTCCCTCTACATGGTATCTCACAAAGACATGGTGTCTTCACCCCCCTACATGGTGTCTCCCACAGACATGGTGTCTTCCACCCTGCTATATGGTATCTCCCACAGACATGGTGTCTTCAACCCCGCTAAATGGTATCTCCCACAGACATGGCGTCTTCACCCCGCTACATGGTATCTCCCAAAGACATGGTGTCTTCACCCCGCTACATGGTATCTCCCAAAGACATGGTGTCTTCACCCCCCTACATGGTGTCTCCCACAGACATGGTGTCTCCCACCCCCCTACGTGGTGTCTCCCACCCCCCTACATGTTATCTCCCACAGACATGGTGTCTCCCACCCCCCCTACGTGGTGTCTCCCACCCCCCTACGTGGTGTCTCCCACCCCACAAACATGGTGTCTCCCACCCCGCTACATGGTTTCTCCCACAGACATGGTGTCTTCCACCCCGCTACATGGTATCTCCCACAGACATGGTGTCTTCCACCCCCCTACATGGTATCTCCCATAGACATGGTGTCTTCCACCCCCCTACATGGTGTCTCCCACAGACATGGTGTCTCCCACCCCCCTACGTGGTGTCTCCCACCCCCCTACGTGGTGTCTCCCACCTCACAGTCTGTTCTCTCAGCACCCACAGGCCTACCCAGGTCTCTTCTCCCACTACCTAGAACCATCTCTCCCATCACTCTGCACTCCCACTTCCTCCACGTAGTCCCTCTGGTCTGTGTTAACCAGGTACCCTCCTCTCTGTCCTCCTACAGGTTGAATGAGCCCAAGATGTCGGAGGTGGAGCGGCAGGCGCTGGAGGGTGAGCGTGCCGACCGCAGCCTGTTTGTCCAGGAGCTGCTGCTGAGCACGCTGATGCGCGAGGAGAGCTCCTCTTCGGACGAGGATGAGCGGCGAGACTTTGCCAGCTTCGGGGCCATGGGCTGCGTGGATATCATGCCTTTAGACGTGGCCCTGGAGAACCTCATCCTCAGGGAGAGTGGTACAGGCGGTTACAACAGCAGCTGTAGGAGCTCTAAGGAACCTCCACCGCCTCCTCTTTGATGTAATCCCAGCACCACGCAGACTTTGTCCTCTGTGCTGCCACTGCCAGTGACGGGCGGGCGGGGCAGCAGGCTGTTTTTGGGTTTGTTTTTTGGTGATTGTAATTTCAGGCCTGTCACCTTTGTTACATTTGTGTACAACCATAAAAAAGTAGAGTGGGAGCGATTTGGGGAAAGTGCAAGTGGATGAGTGTGCAGCGCCAAGCGAGAGATTGAGAGAAAATAAATCAATATATATAAATATATATCAAATGTTGATAATCAGTTCCACATAACTATTTTTTTCCTTTAGCAGGTAAGCATTAGGTAGACGTGGCAGATCTCTCTTCCTGTTCTCATGCAAAAGGCTCTCCTTATAAATACCCCACATTCAAAACCTGAAGAGGAATCAGACACCAAATGGTGAAGCTGCTGTGTGTATTTATGACTTAACAAATAAAAAGTGCTTGGATGGTAAACTACTGCATGAGGTTCTTTGGAGCGTGCATGACTTTTAATGACCTCATCATTAAAAAGGGAGAGAAAAAAATATCCCAAAGCTTTCTCTCGTCAACCATTTTAAACGGTTACTTGAAACATAATTGAGTTTTTCAGAAAAATGTAATATCGCAAAAAAACGTCAATACTTTTTGTTTTATTTTAAATAGAAAAACACTACCTATTGGAATCTGCAGTAGCTTTAAAAAGAAAACAATGCAATGTGTTTATCTCTCAGCTCCGGTTGGTCCTTCCCTCTCTGTGACATCGTCTGAATATAACAACAACTTGCTGCACTAACGGCAAAACTCAAGAGAAACTCGAGACGTCTGCATTCACATAGCAGATAAAATAATACAATACTAGGAGCAGAAAAACCAGATCTTATCTCTGACATTTTTCCTAGATGTTGATGTTTTAGTGACAAGCTGTGTGTAACCACCAGATGTTGTTTCTAATTTATGCACCTGTACAGAAGAACTAGTCTCCCATTCTCATCGATCGCACTCTACTCTTCTCCATCTCTCTGCTTCTGTAGGCCCAGACTCCCTAAGTTAATTTTTATTACTTTCTTTGTTGAGGAAGGGGAGCTCGAGACTTTCCACATTGCAGGCATTGTTTTTTGTTTGACTGAAAAAAAATTTTTTCCACATTTTTATTTTTATTTCAGGTAAGGATAGCACCTTCTATTTATTCTTTTTGTTTCTCTGATTCTTTTAAGCCTTGTAATGAATCATGCCACCGCCATGCCTATACTCTTATCCTCTATGTAAAATACAATGAGATGTATATTGAATTTGTGCGTTAACTTTCATAATGGTTCTAGGACATGGGCAGACTTTGTTTTTTTAAATGTACATTTAGAATACTACAATAAACTGCGCACAGCTTTTGATGAAACCAAGCCCCTCCCTCTTGATCTTTGTGATGATGTCTTATTCGGCTACTGTATAGGGCTCTTCACTACTGAGCTGAGCCGAGCCAAGCTGTACTGAGCTGGCCTGATTACGCATCCACCATAGTTGCTGGAACTGTGCTGGAAAGGACAATGTGAAAAGGAAAATATCCAACCCTTACCCAGTACAGTTTGGTTCCGGTCTGCTAGTGTGAAAAGGGTATATGGGTCACCATGTGCTAGGCTTTAAAGGGATACTGCGAGATTCTGGGAAGTAAGCCATGTTCTACTTCCCAGTGTCAGGTGAACTTGTGGATACCATTTTTATGTCTCTACGTGCAGTATGAAGGAAGTTAGAGGTCGTTTTGCGAGCCAATACTAACTAGAGTTGGGCAATGACTGGACGTCTACAGGTAAAGTAGCATACTCCACAGTATCTAAAATTGTATTTAGGTAGAAAAATGGCTTAATTGCCAAAATCTCGCAATATCCCTTTTTAAGGAGTTATTTTATCTAACTGGGTGTGTACCAAACAGGGTTACAAAAACAAGGCTCAACAAAATACTACTGTGCAGCACCAACTTCCCTGGTCCTAAAGACCAGTGGACAATGGACCCTGTGTACTTTGACCTCTCACCTCTACCTATGCACATCAATGGCTGCACCTTTTTACTACTAGTATGACTGAGCAGTGAGCAACACACTGCACTCACTATGGAGACAAATAGCCCCTGGTGCATATGAACACAGCCCAACCCATGTCCTACAAACAAGGCTGTGCCTGTAGACAGCTGTTTCCCTGGACCTGCATACTACACAGAGATTTGTTCAAACACAGTAGCTAGCTACATACTAACCGTGCTCAACTCTACCTGCATGGCATACAGTGCATTCGGAAAGTATTCAGACCTCTTGATGTTTTCCACATTTTGTTACGTTACAGCCTTATTCTAAAATTGATTTAATAATTTTTTCCCCTCATCAATCTACACAAAATACCCCATAATGACAAAGCAAAAACAGGTTTTCATTTTTTGTGTGCAAATGTATTATGCAAATATCTTATTTACATAAGTATTCAGACCCTTTGCAATGAGACTCGAATTTGAGCTCGGGTGCATCCTGTTTCCATTGATCATCCTTGAGATGTTTCTACAACTTGATTGGAGTCCACCTGTGGTACATTCAATTGATTGGACATGATTTGGAAAGGCACACACCTGTCTATATAAGGTCCCACAGTTGACAGTGAATGTCAGAGCAAAGACCAAGTCATGAGGTCAAAGGAATTGTCCGTAGAGCTCCAAGACAGGATTGTGTCGAGGCACAGATCTGGGAAGGGTACCAAAAAAGTTCTGCAGCATTGAAGGTCCCCAAGAACACAGTAGTCTCCATTATTCTTAAATGGAAGAAGTTTGGAACCAACTAAAGGACTCTCAGACCCGGAGAAACAAGATTCTCTGGTCTGATGAAACCAAGATTGCCAAGCGTCACGTCTGGAGGAAACCTGGCACCATCCCTACGCTGAAGCATGGTGATGGCAGCATCATGCTGTGGGGATGTTTTTCAGCGGCAGGGACTGGGAGACTAGTTAGGATCGAGGCAAAGATGAACGGAGCAAAGTACAGAGAGATCCTTGATGAAAACCTGCTCCAGAATGCTCAGGACCTCAGACTGGGGTGAAGGTTCACCTTCCAACAAGACAACGACCCTAAGCACACAGCCAAGACAACGCAGGAGTGGTTTCGGGACAAGTCTCTGAATGTCCTTGAGTGGCCCAGCCAGATCCCGGACTTGAACCCGATCGAACATCTCTGGAGAGACCTGAAAATAGCTGTGGAGCAACGCCCCCCATCCAACCTGACAGAGCTTGAGAGGATCTGCAGAGAAGAATGGGATAAACTCCCCAAATACAGGTGTGCCAAGCTTGTAGCATCATACCCAGGAAGACTTGAGGCTGTAATCACTGCAAAAGGTGCTTCAACAAAGTACTGCGTAAAGGGTCTGAATACTTACAGTACCAGTCAAAAGTTTGGACACACCTACTCATTCAAGGGTTTTTCTTTATTTGTACTATTTTCTACATTGTAGAATAATAGTGAAGACATCAAAACTATGAAATAACACATGGAATCATGTAGTAACCAAAAAATTGTTAAACTAATCAAAATATATTTGAGTTTCTTCAAATAGCCACCCTTTGCCTTGATGACAGCTTTGCACACTCTTGGCATTCTCTCAACCAGCTTCATTAAGTAGTCACCTGGAATGCATTTCAATTAACAGGTGTGCCTTAAAAGTTAATTTGTGGAATTTATTTCCTTAATGCATTTGATCCAATCAGTTGTGTTGTGAAAGGTAGGGGGGTATACAGAAGATAGCCTTATTTGGTAAAAGACCAAGTCCCTATTATGGCAAGAACAGCTCAAATAAGCAAAGAGAAACGACAGTCCATCATTACTTTAAGACATGAAGGTCAGTCAATATGGAACTTTGAAAGTTTCTTCAAGTGCAGTCGCAAAAACCATCAAGCGCTATGATGAAACTGGTTCTCATGAGGACCGCCACAGGAAAGGAAGACCCAGAGTTACCTCTGCTGCAGAGGATACGTTCATTAGAGTTACCAGCCTCAGAAATTGCAGCCCAAATAAATGCTTCACAGAGTTCATGTAACAGACACATCTCAACATCAACTGTTCAGAGGAGACTGTGTGAATCAGGCCTTCATGGTCGAATTGCTGCAAAGAAACCACTACTAAAGGACAACAATAATAAGAAGAGACTTGCTTGGGCCAAGAAACACAAGCAATGGACATTAGGCTGGTGGAAATTTGTCCTTTGGTCTGGAGTCCAAATTTGAGATTTTTGGTTCCAACCACTGTGTCTTTGTGAGACACGGTGTGGGTGAACGGATGATCTCCGCATGTGTTATGGTGTGGGGGTGCTTTGCTGGTGACACTGTCTGTGATTTATTTAGAATTCAAGGCACACTTAACAAGCATGGCTACCACAGCATTCTGCAGCGATACGCCATCCCATCTGGTTTGGGCTTAGTGGGACTATCATTTGTTTTTCAAAAGGACAATTACCTAACACACCTCCAGGCTGTGTAAGGGCTATTTGACCAAGAAGGAGAGTGATGGAGTACTGCATCAGATGATCTGGCCTCAACAATCCCCCGACCTCAACCCAATTGAGATGGTTTGGGATGAGTCGGACCGCAGAGTGAAAGAAAAGCAGCCAACAAGTGCTCAGCATACAGTGGGGAGAACAAGTATTTGATACACTGCCGATTTTGCAGGTTTTCCTACTTACAAAGCATGTAGAGGTCTGTAATTTTTATCATAGGTACACTTCAACTGTGAGAGACGGAATCTAAAACAAAAATCCAGAAAATCACATTGTATGATTTTTAAGTAATTAATTTGCATTTTATTGCATGACATAAGTATTTGATCACCTACCAACCAGTAAGAATTCCGGCTCTCACAGACCTGTTAGTTTTTCTTTAAGAAGCCCTCCTGTTCTCCACTCATTACCTGTATTAACTGCACCTGTTTGAACTCGTTACCTGTATAAAAGACACCTGTCCACACACTCAATCAAACAGACTCCAACCTCTCCACAATGGCCAAGACCAGAGAGCTGTGTAAGGACATCAGGGATAAAATTGTAGACCTGCACAAGGCTGGGATGGGCTACAGGACAATAGGCAAGCAGCTTGGTGAGAAGGCAACAACTGTTGGCGCAATTATTAGAAAATGGAAGAAGTTCAAGATAACGATCAATCACCCTCAGTCTGGGGCTCCATGCAAGATCTCACCTCGTGGGGCATCAATGATCATGAGGAAGGTGAGGGATCAGCCCAGAACTACACGGCAGGACCTGGTCAATGACCTGAAGAGAGCTGGGACCACAGTCTCAAAGAAAACCATTAGTAACACACTACGCCGTCATGGATTAAAATCATGCAGCGCACGCAAGGTCAAGACCTACAGGAAACGTATGATCTCTGTAATTGCAAACAAAGGTTTCTGTACCAAATATTAAGTTCTGCTTTTCTGATGTATCAAATACTTATGTCATGCAATAAAATGCAAATTAATTACTTAAAAATCATACAATGTGATTTTCTAGATTTTTGTTTTAGATTCCGTCTCTCACAGTTGAAGTGTACCTATGATAAAAATTACAGACCTCTACATGCTTTGTAAGTAGGAAAACCTGCAAAATCGGCAGTGTATCAAATACTTGTTCTCCCCACTGTATGTGGGAACTCCTTCAAGACTGTTGGAAAAGCATTCCAGGTGAAGCTGGTTGAGAGAATGCCAAGTGTGTGCAAAGCAGTCATCAAGGCAAAGGGTGGCTATTTGAAGAATCTCAAATATAAAACATATTTTGATTT